TCCTGCAATTCCACTAAAACTAAGTGTTTGATGACGTCACTATCACAAAATCTGCTTCTTACATTACACAAGGCTCTTTGTGATAGTGACTTCATCAAACACTTCGTTTTAGTGGAATGAAATTGGAATGCTGAAATTGATGCTATCATTGTTCCCAATACACATTAAAAGTATAATAAACCTCTTAACAATCCCTTTAACCATTAACTTGTTCTCTCATCTTTGACAGTCATATCCAACTTTGATTTAGATTCATGGTAAATTTATACTATGATCATCTTATTTCATCAATTAGGATTTTTGAAATTTTCAGGTAATTGTCAGAGAGATGTTGAAAAGTTGATGGAAAAAGCTACAAGTTATATACAAGGACACAGTGTATATTCAGTGAATTATTTATATCGAAACAAACCAAGCTGCCATCCCACCATTCTACAATCCAAGAAAACAGGAATTATAGCAAAATATTTAAAAGATAACAACGGTGATCAATATTCAAGTATTAACAATAATATTTGTGGTCTCCATTTTTCTGCCACCCCAGCCAACAGCTCTGGAGACCTACCAAAAGGCAGCATTTTTGGAGATTATAGAATTATGATATTTCCAGAATATTTAGTTGACGGTTGTCATTTGTATTTTGCCGATTTTTTCTGTATGCCTCGAAAAAAACACTGGGTGACCTTAGTTTTAACGAAAGCTGAAAGTGAGGAAGATGATTTTTGTCAAAATAGATTGGTAAAGCTGGATATTGAAAATAATCCATTTTTTTATAAAGTGGGGGCTAGTTATAAAGTTACCTCCCTTGATGTTGAAATTCTTTATACAGAAGATATTAATCTCAATGAAATGAGGCTAAAAGTGGGATTTCAAGAAAAAATACCCCAACTTGTGAAAACAGAATAAGCACAACTGGAGGGTTAGCTAAAAATCTTTCCTGTGAATATTGTAACTTGCCGTATTATTAAAGTTATATCTGGAGGTCAAAATGAGGCGTTTTTGTTGTTAGAAATTATCTGACAGTTTTATAGCCCTTTTGAAATTCTGTCATGTGACCTAATTTACATTCATCAAATATTCTTTCGTATTACACTTGATTTTCTCTTTCCAATCAATCGATATTGACACTTGATAGTAACTTGCGTCTTGTTCATCTAGTGTCATCTGATCATGTGACACACACTCTTCTAATACATTGCTGATTTTCGTAAATACTATATTTTTTAAAGCCAATTTTCGCAAGATTTGGCTGTGCAAAATTAAAAAAAAATATAAAAGCAAATTTAGCCAAATGGATGAAGATTTGGAATTTTGGTGAAATAATTTTTTGTCTGGCTCTGAGGTTCAGATGGCCAGAAGCAGGACAATTTATTTTTCAATATTTGCAACAGTTTAGAAACAGAAATCTTTTCTATGTGTTTTTGTCTGTTATCAGAAATCCTAAATTCTGTTTCACCTTCATAATTGAATAAAGTTTGAAAACACTTCACAAGTAACTAGGTGTAACAATACATAACAAATCTTAAGTTACATATACATATATATAACTCTAGAATTTCTAAATATTTATTTCTACTTTCATTTTCACTGATTAAACTAAGTCACTTCTAGGAAGTTTTGATTTTTCTTCTGTAGTTTGTGTGTATTATTGAGCAACAATGGTAGGCAGCTCTGTTGTCAGGAATGAATTGGAGCCAGAGCTGCCAAGGGAACCAAGGGGTGACTTCAATTAACAAGAGTTCTAAAAGCTGGGGCTCTCCTCCATGAAAATTAGAAATTTAGAAGCCCAGAGAACCCATTTCTAAAGATTTTACAGTACTTTACACCTTATCAAACCTCTATCTTTTTGGTTTTGTATAAGAAAACTGAAAATTAAAGGGACAGATGTGCCATTTTAAGGGGTTGATTTAAGTCTTGAATATAATATGTAAATAGTCTTCAGAAGTACTAGAAATGTATGAAAATTACATAATTCCTTCAAAAATACCTCAAACTAATTTTACAAACTATATCTTTTCTATATATCACAGAGTATCTTAAATTGATGAGTTGTCATTTTAACATTCAATCGCGGACACACATAGATTTGAAGGCTCAAATTTCAACAGTGGGGCTGTGTACATTATTACTGATTGGCTTAGCTAAAAAATTCCTGTTACTGAGACTAAAGTATAATTGGTACATCTGTCCCTTTAATCAATCTCTGCTGAACTAAGGTTTTGCTGGGGGTTAATTCTCATTTGCTGAGGCCAAGCCCCCGTGAACCCCACCCTAATGACAGGACAGATGGAGGGGTGAGTATGCTTACACTTCAAGACACCTATTACAACTTTTTTTATTATGAAATACTTCCTCATAAGTTAAAGTCTAAAAGATATTAATGATTTATTTCTACTTTCATTTTTACTCAATGTCAAGGTCAGTTACAGTTCTCGGAAAATATCAATACAATGAACAAATCAGATCACATAATTAAAACAATATTAATTCGTAGAATCTATTTAATACTCTAGCTATAAAGGGACAACTCTTCTAATACATTGCTGATTTTCGTAAATACTATATTTTTTAAAGCCAATTTTCGCAAGATTTGGCTGTGCAAAATTAAAAAAAAATATAAAAGCAAATTTAGCCAAATGGATGAAGATTTGGAATTTTGGTGAAATAATTTTTTGTCTGGCTCTGAGGTTCAGATGGCCAGAAGCAGGACAATTTATTTTTCAATATTTGCAACAGTTTAGAAACAGAAATCTTTTCTATGTGTTTTTGTCTGTTATCAGAAATCCTAAATTCTGTTTCACCTTCATAATTGAATAAAGTTTGAAAACACTTCACAAGTAACTAGGTGTAACAATACATAACAAATCTTAAGTTACATATACATATATATAACTCTAGAATTTCTAAATATTTATTTCTACTTTCATTTTCACTGATTAAACTAAGTCACTTCTAGGAAGTTTTGATTTTTCTTCTGTAGTTTGTGTGTATTATTGAGCAACAATGGTAGGCAGCTCTGTTGTCAGGAATGAATTGGAGCCAGAGCTGCCAAGGGAACCAAGGGGTGACTTCAATTAACAAGAGTTCTAAAAGCTGGGGCTCTCCTCCATGAAAATTAGAAATTTAGAAGCCCAGAGAACCCATTTCTAAAGATTTTACAGTACTTTACACCTTATCAAACCTCTATCTTTTTGGTTTTGTATAAGAAAACTGAAAATTAAAGGGACAGATGTGCCATTTTAAGGGGTTGATTTAAGTCTTGAATATAATATGTAAATAGTCTTCAGAAGTACTAGAAATGTATGAAAATTACATAATTCCTTCAAAAATACCTCAAACTAATTTTACAAACTATATCTTTTCTATATATCACAGAGTATCTTAAATTGATGAGTTGTCATTTTAACATTCAATCGCGGACACACATAGATTTGAAGGCTCAAATTTCAACAGTGGGGCTGTGTACATTATTACTGATTGGCTTAGCTAAAAAATTCCTGTTACTGAGACTAAAGTATAATTGGTACATCTGTCCCTTTAATCAATCTCTGCTGAACTAAGGTTTTGCTGGGGGTTAATTCTCATTTGCTGAGGCCAAGCCCCCGTGAACCCCACCCTAATGACAGGACAGATGGAGGGGTGAGTATGCTTACACTTCAAGACACCTGTTACCACTTTTTATTATGAAATACTTCCTCATAAGTTAAAGTCTAAAAGATATTAATGATTTATTTCTACTTTCATTTTTACTCAATGTCAAGGTCAGTTACAGTTCTCGGAAAATATCAATACAATGAACAAATCAGATCACATAATTAAAACAATATTAATTCGTAGAATCTATTTAATACTCTAGCTATAAAGGGACAACTGATTCTCTTATATTTACCAGCCATGTCTAACATTCAGTATTTACCAGTCATGTCTGACTAGTGACCGTTGACTATTTTTACCAGTCACATCTGACTAGAGCTCTAAACTGTTTTTACCAGTCATGTCTGACTAGAGATTGTTGATTTAACTATGTATAACAGTCAGATCTGGACTCTAGATTGTTGAGTTGGGTACATTTACCAGTCATGACTGAATAGTGACTGTTGATTTGACTATTTTTACCAGTCATGTCTGGCCAGAGCTCTAAACTGTTGATTTCACTGTTTTTACCAGTCATGTATGAATAGAGCTCTGGATCATCGATTTGGCTAAATTTAACAGTGAAGTTTAATTAGAGCTCTAGACTGTTGATTTGGCTGTATTAACCAGGTATGTCTGACTAGAGCTCTAGACTGTTGATTTGGCTGTATTGACCAGGTATGTCTGACTAAAGCTCTAAACTGTTTTGTTTTTTTTTTCTATATTTACCAGTCATATTTGACTTGACCTCCAGGCCGTTAATCTGCTGGTTTTTCATTCCGTTTTTCATTAGTTTTATCTTTAATATAGCCACTTGAGTAGGGGTCCAATGACAGCCCTCTAGAATATTAATCAGATTAACCTTTGGACTGAAACACCACTTCAAAAAATGCCAGTGCTGGAGAGGTTAGAAATTTGATTGGTTAAAGCAGAGGTCATCAAGTTAGGTCAAAAGGTTAATTTGACAAACGTTCAAGAGGGCTGTCCTTAGACCTTAACTGAAGTGGCTATATTAAAAATAAAAGCTAAAAAAAAGGAAAGTTTGGTCTTATTTTAATTAGACTGGGTTTGAACTTGAATAGTTCGTCACCTTGACCTTGTACACAGCTAGGTGACACTACCATATCGCAAGCCTACATAGAAAAAAGTCTTCTTTTACTTTCAACAAATATTTCTGGAAATCTATTTATAGATCATGTATTCAAGGAAAGTTAAATATTCTAAAGAGAATATGTATTCAAATTATTTCTGACGAAATAAACAATTGTTATTTAAGGTAATATGTGACAGGCGACATTATAAAAGCTGATTTAGGACAGTCAACATTTTATAGAAGCTGATTTGGGATCATTTTGGATTGTTTCAACATGGTTCAGGTAAGGTTTTAAGAAAATCAAGAGAGAAAACTCATAATGACTTGGAAAAGCATCTCTTATCATTGTAAACTACCTTAAATCAGAATGACATTTCACTGTCATCATGTATACCTACTTCTTGAGTTAAAAACCTAAGGAGATATTGACAGTTCAGAAAATGCACTGAACTAACAAGTCAAAATTTTTCAGTTTCTTTGATCTCACACATCTAATTTCAGAAAAATATAAAAATTGGAAGGAAAGAATTTGACTACAATTTACCAAATAATCCAGACATCAACAGGTTTATCATTAAGGTTCATAATGAAACTGCCAATCAACGTAGTTATTATTTTTTCACCAAGACGGAAGAATGGATTTTGATGGCCAATGATGAGGATTGTGTTTTTATGACTATATATGGTACCAGAGACAATGGGGAAGTATTGAGTAAAGATTTTTACAATAAACCAACATCTGGAGAGATTCAGAAACAGTCCAGTCGACCATATCAATCGGTAAACTGAAATTTTTATATGCTATTTCACCTTTTTTTTTTAATAAGATTCAATTAAAGTCTAACTATCTTTGATTCAATCTCTATACCACACCTCTTTAGACTATTGCCACGTGTGTTATTATCATTCCAAGCATGCATTTACTAATTATTGCACCAAAATATCAGTAAGGACTGCAAATAAGAAGGTTCATTATGCCTTGAAAGTGATAGCTCGCCAAAATTGAGATCAATTGTAAAGGAATCATTCTGAAAACTAAACAGATAGCTGAAATTGATCTCAGTCAGTTGCTAAGGAAAATATTCGGACGACCATGTCATTTTAACATGCATTGCCTCTATAACTTGCTGAGCTTAGCAATCAGGGCTCCCATTCTCGAAATGATCTTAGGGCTAGGATGACCTAGAATCAATGTTAGAAGATAAGAACCAAGGACATCCTAGAATCAATGTTAGAAGATAAGAACCTAGGATGACCTAGAATCAATGTTAAAAGATAAGAACCTAGGATATCCTAGAATCAATGTTAGAAGATAAGAACCTAGGACATCCTAGAATCAATGTTAGTAGAATCAATGTTAGTAGGTAAGAACCTAGGACATCCTAGAATCAATGTTAGAAGATAAGAACCTAGGATATCCTAGAATCAATGTTAGTAGGTAAGAACCTAGGACATCCTAGAATCAATGTTAGAAGATAAGAACCTAGGATATCCTAGAATCAATGTTAGAAGATAAGAACCTAGGATGTCCTAGAATCAATGTTAGAAGATAAGAACCTAGAACATCCTAGCGCTAAGATCGTTTCGAGAATACGAGGCCTGGACTGTAACACATGGTTCAGTTGATAGCTTGTTGAGCCTAACACCCTGGACTCTGAGGTTTGTGAGAGAGCTTCTAACTCGCTAAGCCTAACACCCTGGACTCTGAGCTAAATAAAAGAGCTTCTAACTCGCTGAGCCTAACACCCTGGACTCTGAGGTTTGTGAGAGAGCTTCTAACTCGCTGAGCCTAACACCCTGGACTCTGAGCTAAGTAAGAGAGCTTCTAACTCGCTGAGCCTAACACCCTGGACTATGAGGTAAGTAAGTGAGCTTCTAACTCGCTGAGCCTAACACCCTGGACTCTGAGCTAAGTAAGAGAGCTTCTAACTCGCTGAGCCTAACACCCTGGACTCTGAGGTTTGTGAGAGAGCTTCTAACTCACTGAGCCTAACACCCTGGACTCTGAGGTTTGTGAGAGAGCTTTTAACTCGCTGACAAAACTCTGAGGTTAGTGAGAAAACTTTTAACTCAGTGAGCCTAACAAATCAAAATACTGTTTCAAAACTTCTTATTTCAGATGTGTTCTATGAGTCTGAATACAATTAATTGTGAAGTAAAAGAGAGAGTTCCACTTCCCAATGTTTCTCATCCAGTTTTTATACTGAAGGGATCACAAGAGGGTGGCACAAATTTCTATGTACAAATCCTGAAGCATGAAAACACCGAATTCATTCAGTTGTCAACATCAGTAAATAATGAGATCAAAGATTCTACTATTGAGCTACAATCTAGAAGAAACTATACATGTAAACTGTACAAAGTAGATAAACGTGATGAGCAATATGTTGTGACTGCCGATAACTCATACCTAAGTTTAAAAACTCGTAAGAATATTTTTTATATCTTATCATTGATATATTAAAGGAATTGTAAAGAGGTTTTCTAAAAAATTTATGTTTATTGGGGACACTGACAGCATTTATTTGCAACCTTCCAATTTTCAATCAGAAGTATGTGGTTCCTGTAATTCCACTAAAACTAAGCGTTTTATGACGTCCCTAATCTTGAAGTCCTTATGTGATAAAGCATATTTTGCGATTAGTGACATCATCAGAATTCAGAATTTCGAAAGATCATTGGGTGTACATCTTAACCATATTCTTGTTCTCTCATCTTTCACAGTGACATTCAAATCTGATTTCAGTAAAACTTATTCTATGATAATCTTATAGGGGCATAATGAAAAAATTTCGTTATCAAAATATCCTTGAAAATATTTTTAAATTATGTTATTTACATCTATATATCTACTTGATCAAACTGAATTAGTTTTAAAAGGGTTAATTAAAAATGTAGTGTACTAATTGTTAATTAAGCAGCTTAAACTAGTTTTGTTGTTGGGCCTCACAAAGATATTTTAGTTGAAACTCTTAGACTACATTGGTAGACATTTTACAGGAAAAAGTTTATGAAACCTTATAAATAGTTTTGGCATTAAAACGGAAGGATATTTTTAGTTAAAACTTTCAGACAAGTTTAGAACATGTTTCACTAGATTATGGTATCTAGTTTTGAAGATTTTGAGCAAAAAACTCCCAGAATGCATCAATTTTGACTTTTTGAAATTTTTCAGGTAATTGTCAGAGAGATGTTGAAAAGTTGAAGGAAAAAGCTAAAAGTTATATACAAGGACACAGTGTATATTCAGTGAATTATTTATATCGAAACAAACCAAGCTGCCATCCCACCATTCTACAATCCAAGAAAACAGGAATTATAGCAAAATATTTAAAAGATAACAACGGTGATCAATATTCAAGTATTAACAATAATATTTGTGGTCTCCATTTTTCTGCCACCCCAGCAAACAGCTCTGGAGACCTACCAATGAGCAGTTATTTTGGAGATTATAGAATTATGATATTTCCAGAATATTTAGTTGACGGTTGTCATTTGTATTTTGCTGATTTTTTCTGTATGAGTCGAATACACTGGGTGACATTAGTTTTAACGAAAGCTGGAAGCAAGGAAGATGATTTTTGTCAAAATAGATTGGTAAAGCTGGATATTGAAAATAATCCATTTTTTTATAAAGTGGGGGCTAGTTATAAAGTTACCTCCCTTGATGTTGAAATTCTTTATACAGAAGATATTAATCTCAATGAAATGAGGCTAAAAATGGGATTTCAAGAAAAAACTACCCCAACTTGTGGTAAGGGAAGAAGCACACCTGGAGGAAGGCCTAAAAATACTTCCTGTTCTTCATGTAACTTGCCCCATTACTGAACTAATCTCTTGAGGTTAAAATCATAAAAGAAATAAACTGATAAATTCTTTTTTTTTTGCTATCATATTGATTATAGATTTTTATTATTGATGTTTCAAAGTGAGTTTTTCTATAGTTTTTATCAATTGGAATTTCTTGACTGTCGATCTTTCAAACAGAAACAGGTTTAGTTTCTCTGGTAAAATATTTTTGATTAAAGTATTATGTAATGCAAGGAATGATCATTATTATATCAGAGTAATTTATCAGAGTATTTTATCAGAGTAATTTATCAGAGTAACTTATTTTACGTAATTTATCCCAAAAATTTAGCAGCATAATTGAAACCTGTGATATTTTTTTTATTATTTAGTTCTTGCTTCTTTTTGTGTTTTGTGTTTTGTTATCGAAATGTCCATTCTTTTTTTTTTTTTTTTTTTTTTCGTTTCGTCCACACCTTCCCGAGCTTGGACTGCAGTAGTTGTAGCAACAATTCAAATTTCATAGACCTTCTATATAGGTGACGATGTGCATAAATATAAATTGGAACATTTTTGCAAAACCGGAAGTGCCACAGTTGAACATGTGCAAAAAGTCGAAAATCGGTTCTAGAAGGCGCATTTTTGCATCGATTTTCTTCGGGTTTTCATTTTTACAATCTACCCGTAATTTCTGACCTGATAGCACTTGAAAAATTACGAAATTCGAAAATTCGTCGCTCACTTTTTTCGATCAAATTTTTCGATTTTTTTGCAACTTTTTTGCTTTTGCATCGATTGATCTGAAATTTTAAATGCAAAGAGAGTTTACTAATGTAAATAATATGGTACAGTCAAAATTTGTACGTCATTTCCGATTTTCAACAGGAAAGCGACTGAACTTCCGGTTGAATAACTTCCGGTCTAATTTATGTAGGTCAACCAAATTTAGCTGATCTTTGGCAAATAAAATTTTATGGCCGATTTTAAAATAAAATCCAGCCCGGAAGTGATACTTTGGCCGCCATATTGAAAAAACACACTTTTGTAAATCGAAAAATGGGGCCTCTATGAAGAAATGGGAGTGTATAATTTTGATGTGTATGTAATCTACAATCGATTGCCAACAAAAACTAGGAAGCCGATTTTTGAATTTCGCTTTTCATTTTTTGCAACTTCCGGTTGAAGTTTTTGCAAGTTCTATCTCGTGACCTTGACCTTTGATGACCTTGACCTTTGTAGGGTTAAAGGTCATTGACCTTGACTATCAGTTGATACATTGACATCCGACCTGTACTTCCGGTTTTATAGCGTTCCGAAAACAGCCAAATTCGCAACTTTGGACTGCTCTAGCATATGACCTAAATAACCTAAAGGGTCAATTTTTTCGGATTTTTAATGTGCTTCCCATGCTCTTTCCAGTGATATATAACAATCGTACTTTTAAAGCAAAATTGAAATTCTTGATTTTTTTCAAATTCGAGTGTTTTTTTATCATATTTATGGTGTATGTATATCTTATGATCTACTTGATGTAGAACCTTGAAATTTGAAACACAACTAGACATGTTGAATATGAATTCACTTATGACAAAAAAGTTGAGGTGGGCGTGGCACATCCGGGTTGAATTACTAATTGTTTACATTTAGAGAAAGGGGCATATCTCGCATAGGATACATTTGTTCAAAAAGGGACTTTGCACACAATTACCTCATCCTTTTGGCTAGTTTGTATTAACAACTCAGTTATTTCAGCTTTATAGTTCCAAAAAAGGTTTTAACATTTGCATATTTTCAATTTTCGATTTTGACCTTTTTTGACTTTTGTTGACCTATATCTTTTGACCTGCATGATTTAGAAGCTTGACATTTTGAACATAGCATCAGAATTTGAATATCAATTAACCTATGCAAAAAAAATTGAGGTGGGCGTGGCACATCCGGGTTAAATTACTCATTATTGACATTTTTGGCCAAAGGCATAACTCGCAAAGAATACATTTGTTCAATATGGAACTTTGCTCACAATTACGTCATCCTTTGAGCCACTTTGTCTTAGAAGGTCAGTTAGTTCAGCTTCATATATCAAAAAAAGGAACAGGTTTTGGAAATTCACAATTTTCAATTTTTGACCTTGACCTTTGATGACCTTGACCTTTATAGGGTCAAAGGACATTGACCTTGTCTATTAGTTTATGCTTTCATATTTGACCTCAGACGTCTACTTCCGCTTTTATAGCTGTCCAAAAACATCCAAATTCGCAAATTTGGACTGCTCTAGCTCGTGACCTAATTAATTTTAAGGGTAAATTTTTGTGGATTCTGAATGTGCTCATCGAGCTCTTTCCAGTGATATATAATGCGAAATTGAAATTTCTGAATTTGTGAAATTTCGGTGTTTTTTTACAATATGTTAGCTTCTTTGAGCTAGTTCTATGTATTTCTTATGACCTATTTGCTGTAAAAGCTTGGAATTTGGAACACAACGAGACATATTAATTATAAATTGACCTATGACAAAAAAGTTGAGGTGGACGTGGCACATTAGGCTTAAATTACTTATTATTTACATTTTTATCAGGGGTATAACTTGTATAAAATACATTTGTTCAAAACAGGACCTTGCACACAATTACCTCACCCATTTGGCCATTTTGTGTGAAAAGGTCAGTTGTTTCCGCTTCGTAGTTCAAAAAAAGGAACAGGGTTTAAATTTTGCATATTTTCAAATTTTTTACCTTTACCATTGATGACCTTGACCTTTGTAGGACCTTGGCTAAAGATTTATTCCTTCATACTTGATGTTCATCGTCAACTTCCGGTTTTATAAAGTTTGTATTTTCAAAGTTTGATGACTCATATCTAGTGACGTTGACCTTAAATGACCTTCCCCTTAACATAGTCAAAGGTCATTGACCTTGGAAATCTAATCATACTTTCATATTTTATGTCTGGCTTCAACTTCCGCTTTAACAACCTTCCAAAAAAGCGAAATTTTCAAAATTTTTAACTGCTTTAGCACGTGACCTAATTGGCTAAGAACGTTGATAGTTTCAGATTCTCTAGCAAATTGGCACAAGAGCAAAGTCCCACTCAGTACCACGAGTGGTTCTAGTGTATCTTTGTATTTATTGTGAGACTTTGCTTTCAGCAAAGTCCCAGTTTGTTATCGAAATGTCAATTCTTTTTTTTTTTTTTTTTTTTTTTTTTTTTTTTTCGATTTTTATACACCTTCCTGTGCTTAGACTGCAGTAGTTGCAACAACCTTTCAACTATCATAGACCTTATATATAGGTGACGATGTGCATAAATATAAATTGGAACATTTTTGCAAAACCGGAAGTGCCACAGTTGAACATGTGTAAAAAGTCGAAAATCGGCTCTAGAAGGCGTATTTTTGCATCGATTTTCTTCGGGTTTTCATTTCTACAATCTACCTGTAATTTCTGACCTGATAGCACTTAAAAAATTTCAAATTTCGAAAATTCGTAGCATACATTTTTTGGCCGATTTCGAAATTTTTGGACTATTTTTCAGTTTTTTTCGGATTAATCTGAAATTTTGATAAAAGATGCATGTCACTAATGTAAACCATTTGACGTATTCAAAATTTTTGCGTCACTTCCGGTTAAAGTGGAAAATCGATTTTCACTTCCGGTTGAATATCTTCCGGTGTGATTGAAATTATGTATATCGTTATTAATCGTAATTCTATGGCCGATTTTAAAATAAAATTTAGTCCGAAAAAAATACTTCGGCCGCCATCTTGATTTGATACTTTTTCATAAAACTCAAAATGGGGCTTCAGGGGAGAATGGGATTGGTCAAATTTTTAAGTTGGTGTATACTTTAGTCGATGGCGACAAAAATGTTGGGAATGGATTTTTGAATTTGACTTTTGCTTTTTTGCAACTTCTGGTCGAATATTTTTCAATTTTTGAAGGCTTGTATCTCGTGACCTTGACCTTTGATGACCTTGACCTTTATAGGGTCAAAGGTCATTGACCTTGGCTATCATTTCATACTTTGACCTTTGACCCCCGACATGTACTTCCGGTTTTATAGCTATCCGTAAAAAGCCAAATTCGCAACTTTGGACTGCTCTAGCATGTGACCTAATTAACCTAGAGGGTTAATTTTTTCGGTTTCCTAATGTGCTTTTCATGCACTTTACATAGATATAGAACAATTGCTTTTTTAAAGCAAAATTGAAATTGGTGATTTTTTCAAATTTGAGTTTTGTTTTACCATATTTGTGTCTTTTTTATCTTGGTGTATGTATATCTTATGACCTATTTTATGGAGAACCTTGATATTTGGAATACAACTAGACACTTTGAATATGAATTCACCTATGACAAAAAAATTGGGGTGGGCGTGGCACATCCGGGTTGAATTACTAATTGTTTACAACTCACAGTTTAGAGAGCATAGACTAAAAAAACTCACTGTTTAGAAAGCATAGACTAAAAACAACTCACTGTTTAGAGAGCATAGACTAAAATAAAACGACTGTTTAGAAAGCAGAGACTAAAAACAACTCACTGTATAGAGAGCTGAGACTTAAAACAACTCACTGTTTAGAGCGCAGAGACTTAAAACAACTCACTGTTTAGAAGGCAAGATACTAAAACTACTCACAGTTTAGAAGGCAAGATACTAAAAAAACTCACTGTTTAGAGAGCTGAGACTTAAAACAACTCACTGTTTAGAGAGCAGATACTAAAAAAACTCACTGTTTAGAGAGCTGAGACTTAAAACAACTCACAGTTTAGAGAGCAGATACTAAAAAAACTCACTGTTTAGAGAGCTGAGACTTAAAACAACTCACTGTTTAGAGAGCAGATACTAAAAAAACTCACTCAAAAATAACTCACTGTTTAGAGAGAATGGTTGGAGGTAGTTGATGATGGTCACCAGCTAATATACATCGCGGTGCTCGTAATAATGAAATCCAACACCCTGCTTCCAGGGCCTGTAAATAGTTACAAATGAATTGAATTTTATGAACATAGAGTCTTAGACACCTGGTTGAGCAAATGAATAAAATCAATAGAGTTTAAAATCTTACTCTTCTGCACATAATTAGACTAATGATGACAGGCAACGCCATGCAGTGAAGGAAATTTTGCCAGGACAGTGGAATTAGTGTACTAACGGTCGCGGGATCTTCAACGTGCACAGCCAGAAGCACACAGGGCCTCAGTGTATTGTCCCATCCGAACAAACCTGGTTTAGCCAACAAGCATCCAAATCATTTGACTGCTGGGCATTTTATTAGTATGTTTACAATCGACTGAAACAAATAAACATAAACTTCTTGAGATTTACCTGAGAATTCTCGTCAATGACAACCAAATCAAAATGATCCTTCTCTAGAAATTTTAACGGACCATCGTCAGTGGCGCTAGTCAGCGTTACCAAGACTACCTCAGCTTTTGTTAAAATCTGCCTTGTCGCCTCAGCGGCTCGTTCTCGTAATTCTTTTCTCAAAACTTTAATTTCTTCTTTCAAACCGTGTTTGGCTCCTTTATTTCTAGATGCCTTCATTTTTACCTTTAGGAAGTAAATCATATAGATAACTTAAAGGGGAAGTGTATGTCAATTTCATGAAAAAACTGGAATTTTTTCCCTATCTCCTAATGGCCAACAACATTTTCAATCTATATTTATACTGTGAAGAGATTTTTAGTTTTTGAATAATACATATTTGTACATGATATTTTCTTTTGGATGTATATTATATTTTCTGTGGGATGTACATTATATTTTCTGTGGGATGTATATTATATTTTTTTGGGATGTATAGGATATTTGATGGGTTGTACTTCTAATTTTTTGTGGGATGTACATTATATTTTCTGTGGGATGTATAATATATTTTCTATGGGATGTACATTATATTTTCTGTGGGATGTAAATTAAATTTTCTGTGGGACGTACATTATATTTTCTGTGGGATGTAAATTATATTTTCTGTGGGATGTACATTATATTTTCTGTGGGATGTACATTATATTTTCTGTGGGATGTACATTATATTGCAGCCTCTAATCACTATTACTACTACTATTACTAAGAATAAATAAAGTTATAACCTCTAAAAATCAGTCAAAAAAACTTACCAGAACTTTATCAAGATCTCTTCTAACATCTTCTACTAGCCGTGTTTCTTCACTATTAGCTACAATTGAGTCCAGGGCAAACTTCTGAATTGTGGGTAATAAACGGGCTGGATGACCGATCCTAACAATTTTTTGTTTATACCTGGATATTCTTTCTACTAAATTATCTACTGCAATATTTGACGGTGCACAGGCTAGAACCTACAATTTAAATGCCAAAATATAAAATATACACAAAGTTGGCCATAGATTGGAATGTGAAATTAATATTACTATAATTTTCTTCCCGCTTAAGCACTGACATTTTGTGACAGAAGGCATATTCCCAGAAGCGTAATTGAATGTAGAACAGGCCTTTTCATTGGATGTTCCAAATTGACCATTTTAAATTCGATTGGTTAAAGCAGAGATCATCAGGTTAGGTCAAAAGGTTATTGGGATGAATGTTTAAGAAGACTGTCATATTTTGAGATAAAACTTTACTATACCTTGAGACCCTGTTTAACAGCCTGTAGAATTACTTCTACTACAGTCGTTGTTTTTCCTGTACCTAAAATATTCAAAAATCATTTTCTTAAATAAGTAAATATATTTTCATCAGTTATGTCCCTTGAACTTTTAAAACTTAGGTTCTGGAAATATACCGCATAGATAGACCACAACTATGCGGTCGTATAGAAATTTAGAATCCAATAATATGTGAGGTCTTACCTGAGGCCACAAAACATTTCTCATGCTTAATTTAGTTTCTATTCAAATTCATAATGTCTCTTGTATCAAGAAAATGTAAGATTTAACATGTTAATGCCAGATACATTGTTTCCTAAGGAATAGATCAATATATATTGTTTTTCTTTTATGCATCAGTAGTGCTTCAAATTTGAGTTAAATCTCAGCTAAGTATGAAAAAAAGGCTTGTGGCCCAGGCCAGACCTACTAAATGTGATATTTTTTTCATCAAACGTACCTGGTGGACCGTGTATTACAGCCAATTCTTTCTGTAGTAAGGAAAACTTTACAGCTTCTTTCTGAGAGTTATCTAACTTATCATTGTAATATTCAATTGCTGAAAATATACCACAATACATGAATATAAATAGTAAGCCCAAACACACACAAAAATGAATTACGACAATTCCAAAGGCGAGTTTGAAAACTTATCATTCCATTTACCTGATTGATCACTGAAATCTATTTTAGACTAAGTTTTATTATCCAATCAGGTAACTGTATTGCTCAATACAGTAATTGAGTAAGACTAAATTCAAAATCAATTTCACTGATTAACCAATCAGAGAATTAGAAAGCTATGATAATTTTACCACTGAACTTAATGACAGGATTATCAGCAAATTAATCCTCGATCACATTCTGCTTCCTATTTTCACGGATACTAGGCCCACTATCAATCATCTTCACAATGTCAAGATATTGCAGTCTAGGTAGAAGCGGTAGTGCGTAATACTTTGACACTGTGAAGATAAATATCAATCAAAAATCACTCCAGGTCAGCACGCCTTGAAAATAAAATTCCTCTAACACAGTAAAATATTAAGCAACTTACCAAACGGTTGACTAGGGGGAGATAACTCTGATACATGAAACAATACATTAATCAAGTTTCCAGATCGTCCAGATGTATACCGATTTAAATTCTTTAATGCTCTGAAAATATACTTTCTATGTAAAGACTTGAAATTCTTAATCAAATTATCTTTTAACAATTAGTAAACTATTCAATTCGATCAACTAGATACACAGATGTATATAGCATACTTTATAAATATTTTGAGGTATAATTAATGACATTTTTGATAATGAAAATTTTGCATACTGCCCCTTAAAAAAAGGTCAAATATTCAGCAAATTTAAAAAAAAATTGCAGCAGTTTTCTTTAACAAATACCATTCAAAATTAAACCCAGGTTTAATCGTATTATTTTTTAAAACAGAAGATAAAGGGAAAATATTCAAATTATTAATCCATACCCTTTTAATCGTTTATATGTCACATCGTTAGCTAGCTTTGTTAATTTATACTGAACATCATCGTCCAATGAAAACACATCTGTAGCTTCATCAAAGGCAACACTGATACTTGATTGGTTGACCTTTGACACAATACCAGACGCCAAATTATCAGAGTAACCTTCACCTTGAGATAAATTCAATCCTACGATATCACCTGGAAAAGGATGAAAATATAAATGTGAAGTTGAAATATTGAAAGAAAGAAAAGAAGGAAACAATTCAGTTAAGGATCCTTTCTTCCAGCTGGTCATTGGCCAAACCTTTTGGCATTGATCTTTCCCGGAATTATCCATACCTATTTACAGCTGGGTGGACTGGAATTATAGGTGAAGATGACTTATTCAAGGTCATCAGACTATCACACGCTGATCGAGAATTGAACCCACAGCCGCCATTTGTTTAACATAACCAAGACTTGTGGCTACTGTCAGCTATAATCTGCTGAAATAAAATGTCCTTGTTTTAATCAATGAGAGTTCTTCTAAGACTACCATTACTATTGTGAGGCTAATATTTCTAGTAATCAGTAAAATTGTAATTTTCTTACCATGTGTTAAATTATGGGATGGTAGTTCATTTCCTGACCAAAAGGGTTCAAAGGTCACCACTGTCCTGCCATAAAGACCAGATCTTCGTTCATTCAGTCTCAGTTTTAACAAACAAACACCTTTTCTTTGTAATTCTTTAGCTGGTATCTTCTCTGTCAAAAATCTGAAAAAACAGTCCAATCCTCCAAACATTGGCACCTTATAGGCGTCCTCTCCATTAGCGACATTTTAGTTTTCAACTTTTGTGTCCAAAAACTTATTGTTTAAGATCTACAGTTGTCATATATGATGAGATTAACATCAAAAAACTTTATTTCATAAATTGATTGCTACAAAATATTAAGGTTATTCTGACAATACATGCTCACTCTTTTGGAAAATTCAACTCAACAACTGGGTCTTTAAACTATGTAGCCTTTTCTTCAGATCACAAGACAATATTTGCATTTTTGTACTTTTTTATACAGTTTCTTTCGGACTTCGGCTTGTTCTTGTTGGCTTGTTTGTGCAACTTTCAATTTTTGCCAAGATAAAAATACGATATAAAAAAAGAGAAAAGCTTACCTTGTTTCGTCGATCTCTGTCTGTCTCTCTTTTTCTAAAAGATCGATGGTCTTGGTGACAAACTTTTCAAGATCCATTTTAGTCTGTCAAAAGTTCTAAGGAAATAATATGAAATTTTATTTCATGGAGGCTGCCATTTTCTAAAGGGAAGTAACTCTAAGATAAGGAAAAAGCGCGGACGTCGTTGAAACTACAAAAGAAGATTTGAGAAGTTAGTCAAAAGCTATTAAAAGTTTCTAGATTTCTGATTTTCGACGTAATTCAGTTTGTATTTCCACATAAGCTTATACAGCAAGTCTCTGTACCACAAAATGGTGTATTCACTCTATGCAAACAGAGATGTAAGGTTTTTTTTAATTTTGCTGTAATAATGACTGTGTATCTGATTTGCCAACTATACTCATCGTAATGAACAGAAAACACAAGGGAATATATTTAAGCGATAAACTGTTACCCTATGGTGGCTATGGTCGTATATCAGTACAAAGAATAGCGGGAAAATTGAATAAATGATGTACATCCATAGGGTAATAGTTAATTGCTTATATTTACGTTTTCAAGACATTCTAATTTTGAGACAAAGACTTTAGTTTCAATGTTTGGGACCACCGACATTATTGTTTACATTGGAGACTGTCTATTTGATACAATGACGTCAATGAATAACAATGTCATTGATTGAAATAGCTATGCCTAATTTTTTATTATGAGGCAATGGCATTTATTGTGATATAAACGCCACACAAATTTGCATCAGTCCAATGGACAAAACGATAGCTAATGTAAATAGTAAGATATAAACAAAGCATGCTGGTAAATATGAGAATAATGGTCATAAATGTTCCCTTTTAAATATTTGGATTACATCCATAAATTTCAGTTGTTTCCTTTTTTCAGAGTCAGTAAAAAAGACAAGATGGTTTCAACGGTAAAGGAAAAACCTCAATGCAGTGAATGTAGTAAATGTTTTGCAAGTGAAGAATGCCTGAGAAGGCATAGACGAATACACACTGGAGAGAAACCCTTCACATGTCATATTTGTAGTAAATTGTTCAACCAAAAGGGAAATTTAAAGAAACATCTTCAAAATCATGATGGTGAACGTCCTTTTTCTTGTTCAGTTTGTCCAAAAACATTTACATCAAAATATCATCTTGAAAGACATTTTAAAACTCATACAAAAGAAAAACCGCACTCTTGTTCATTTTGTGAAAAAACCTTTGCCAGAAAATGGTCTTTGACGGAACATGAACGTTTGCATACAAATACTAAAGAATATGAATGTAAGCTATGTAGAAAATCGTTTCGTCATGGTGCCACTTACAAACTACATATGGAAATTCATGAAAATATGAAGAAATACAAATGTGATAAGTGCGGAAGTGCATTTAACAATCAAAGAGGTTTGACATTTCATTCTCTTGTACATACTGGAGATAAAAAATTTCAGTGTCATTTGTGTCCACAGAAATATTATCAGAAGAGTAACTTAAACACTCATATGCTGGTTCATACTCAAGCTAAGCCATATGTTTGCCAAATCTGCAACAAAGCCTTCAACCACAAGTCAAATCAACAGTCACATACATTGAGATGGCACAGTGGAATCAAACCCTTTCCATGTGATATTTGTCATGAGCATTTTTATACTGGTTCTCATTTAAGATGTCATAAAAGAAAACATACTGAAAAGAAACCACAAAAACATACTGGAAAGAAACATCAATGTGATGTTTGTAGTAAATCATTCAGTGCTTTGTGTTCTCTAAAACGTCACAGAGCTATTCACTTTGGAATAATGAAACATAAATGTGATGTTTGTGGTAAAGGCTTTACTCAATTGGGTAACATGAAGAAACACAAATTGGTGCAGCATTCTAACATGTCACGTGACATACCATGTGACCAATGTTGCAAAACATTCTTCCATAAACATCATTTGGCAAATCATAAGAAAAGAATGCATTCATCTATAAAACCCCCTCTCTATGGGTGCATGTTCTGTTTCCGAAAATTCCAATCCAGACAACAATTAAAAAATCATGTGCAAGGTCATTTGAACAGAAGAGAGTATAAATGTGATGTTTGTAGTAAATCATTTAATTATAAACGACTATTAACTCTTCACAAACGAATTCATATTTCATGGAAAAAATTTCAATGTGCTTTTTGCCCAAGTGCCTTCAGTCGAGTAGATAACTTGTATGGGCATTTATGGACCCATTCTGACTTGAAAAGGTTTGCATGTTTTATATGCGATGAGAAATTTCATTATCAAGTCCATCTTCGTAAGCATCAATTATTGGAACATAGCAACATACAGCCGTTTCCATGTGACCAATGTGACATGAGATTTGTGACAAAAATTGAGCTCAAACGACATTCCGTAGAGCACAAGCCATATAGATCACATTCCTGCATTCATTGTGACAAAAAATATATCCATCGTGGACATTTACTAAAACATCTACGAAGTCATGGCAACGGTAAATTAAAATCGAAGAAACCAATCAGAAACCATTCCTCAAATCATAGCACCAGTGGTAGCAACAGTGAATTAAAATCGACCTCAGCAATTAGAAGCCACATATTAAAAGATTTCAACAACCAAAACAAGAAAGAAATAGACTTGGATACATTGATTGAAAGCGATGGCGAAGAGATATACTCCAGTTTAAAGATGGTATTTTCGAGTTCAGATCCGGGCTCTGATAATCCAGACTCTCAGAAGCTAACAGAATACAAAGAATCAACAGACACTAAAGATCTCTTCACTGTTGATTTTAACTCCAACACTATCCCTAGATTACAGGACAGCTAAAAACTAGTAAACATCAGCACTACGTCAGCTTTTTGAACTTTCTGAACAAGGTAGCTTATACAAATCTTTCAAGGCTCGTAAAAGGTTTAAAGTTGACCCCAGAGTAATAAATGGATCCCGGCAGTTTAGTGACCTATCTGAATTGCACAATGAGGTAAAATTTTAAAAAGTGTCTTTATATATATAATGAATTGATAGTTTCTATTTGCCATATTCCAAATTCTCAATACTTATGCCTTTAATTGTAAATAAGACCTGAAATTTCATAAATTTATTCAATGACAGATTTGTTATTTTTAATATAATTTTAGATAAATATTTACTAATTTTGTATTAAAAGGTAGCCTAGAACACACAGTTTGTTTTCGATGGATGTGGATTGATTTTGTCAGCTGCAATGATTTTGTTTTCATACCCACGTATTCCCCTTCCATCTGTCAATCAGGTTGAAAATGAAAAGCTTCTATTTGGCATGGGCAGGGCTGGATTGTTACACATGCATTAGACTCACCGAGCCTTCACTTTCCACATCATACTGGACTTGAGGTTCTTTATAAACCATTGCCAAGACTCCTTGCTTAACAAACAAGCGTGTTTTTATTTAAGCAAATCGTATCGACACAGATCAAAGTGTGCATTTATACAAGCAAAGCGCCTACAATACACATTTATTTTAACGATTTGCCAAAGCGCGTACCCAAATTGTGACTAACAGCGCTTTGGTACGATTTGTTTGGAAATTCAAGATGGTGGGCAACAATGACAACGAGTAAAACATTTCGAGAACCCATTCTTAGATTATTGGAATAAAGACAAAAACATTATTTTTACCAGCGTTTGAAATTTTATAACAACAAAGAGAAAGATATATAGAAAATTAAATTCCATTGGCAGATTCAACTGTTCAATAATGTGTGTATTAGGATTATTGAAAAGTAACCATGCAACATTACATGCTGATAATTGGCCATCAAAGCGAGTTGATACCATTTGCTTAAATAAAAACGCCTCATGTGTTTCCTCCAGGCAATAATCAAACAAACATTGTAGTAGAATGTAAATGATTTAATCAATATGATACAAAATAATATAATGATGAATTCTGAATATTTTAATATTTGAGTGACGTCAGAACGTGAGGGTGACCCAAAACTTCTGCTTCATCTCTCACTGAAAAATACAATTCAGGATTTTTTTAAAAATATAATTACTTATACATTACACTTTACAAGATCACAACCTGTCAAAACTTTGGTAATGTCATCAGTGTAATGTCTGCAGACCAACACGTTTTCTTTCAACCTTAGACACGAATTAATATTTTGCCTTAGAGGAACAGGTTTGCCATTTCAGAGCTTGATTTGGGTCTTGAATATAAGTAAATAATCTTTAGAAGTACTAGAAATGTACGAAAATCGCATAATTCCTTCAAAACTACCTCAAACTAGGAATTTAACTTTCTATTACTATATGTGTCTTTTCTATATGGCAGTCTCAAGAAATAACAAGTACAGTAGTCATATTAACTTTCAAAGGACAACTGAATAAGACAGACATACCATTTAAAATATCATCAAAATCTACTGTTGTATTTCGTCCTGTGAGGGTATCCAACATTACATGAGAGCTGGGTAAACAAGGTAATCTCTGCATCTACAAGATAAACTTTCTTTTGTACAAGACTGGAAATAGTTATCTTGACTAGTTAACATTCTATTTGTCATGTTCTTTTTTAACAATTCCATTATATCAACTATGATTTCAATAATTTAGCTGACATGTTCCATATTCTGTTCTGTTCTAATCTGTTTTATGCTTCACTTGGTAATCCTTGGCATTCAGAGAGAAAGTTTCCCGGGACAGCAACAAAATCCTAATTAATTTTCTTTTCCCAAAAAGATATTTGACATCAAGTCCAAGACTAAGATAAGCAAGTGTCCTTTTCGTTATAAAACTGCAATGGATGCTCAGAATGAAGAACACAAAAATAACCAACCTTAGATGTTATATTCTGTTCCATTTTTAATCTGAGAGGCATGTGAATTCCCTGCATATTTCTCAACATCATAAAATCCATTGCTTCTTGATTTTCAGCCCACTGCAATAAAATCATGTCAATATTTAGAAATAAACATTTGATAAATGCACCATATCTCTAGCGCACCAAAAATACTTCAACTAGTTTAAAATGAGGAGGACTATTTTGAGTTTAAGTGGCCAGTTCTGTATAGGTGCGAATAAAAATAACAGCCATCAGTTTCAAAAGCAAGTCCAAATGATGTTGATTATAAATTTACATCACTTATCAGACTTACATGTTTTTCAGAATATTCTAAAGGGTGTCCAGGCGTTGTATCCCGAGCATTCTTCAAACCAGTTGTCAAAGTTTCTGGAACACTGTACGGTCCTTTTGGCAATTTGATTGGTTGATCACCATCATTCTGAGGTCGTAAGGTTGGATATCCAAAACTCTGAAAGAGAAAATCAAAACATTTTGATTTTTAAAACTTGAAAACAACATAAGCTTAATCCGGTATTGTTCTCCTTGAGTAAACAAAAAACATAAATTCTGATGGCTCACATAATATATAGATCAATACAATCAAAAAAGATGGATGCTAGATCTAAATGTTAATGGCGCAGTTTGTTGATCTTGAATAAATCATCTTTCCTTTATTATCGTACTTGATAGAAAATCTAAATAAAAGCAATGCTAAGTATGCTGTTGAAATAATGAGTTATATTTTGTTCACCTCTTGTCAAATAAAACATAACTCATAAAGAAACTCATTTTCACAATGTGAAGCTATTTCGAACTTCATCTAATTCAACAACATCTTATAAGACAAAGTTTGTAATAATATATCATTGTAAAGATGAAAGTTACTAGGAATAGCCAAACAATGAGAGCTTAATAGAAAAAAAATATCTAATAGAAAAAGAAAAATAATATCAGAGTCAATAAGAGTATTTGATTAGAAAAAGAACATGTTTGATGGGAATCCAAAAAATAATTTCCGAAGTCAATAAGAACATATCTCCCCATGATTTTAATAGAAATGATTACCATAAGCAGGTAATATTAACCGGAAAAGGAAGATACTCAGAGTAATTTCAGAAACCATTAGGTCCATAACTATATAATCTTTATGAGAGTCAACATGGTAGACAAATAAATGAAATGGGTAATTTGAAGACTAGCGAGTGACAGTGATGAAGTGAGAACCATTAATGACAATAAAAATGTCCGGATGTAATCAACGCGATGTTGACATAAAATATGATTAATCAATATCCAATCAAATTTCTCCTCTCTCTTGTTCCATTTTGCTCGGGTCACGCAGGATATTATATAATCAAATTAATCTAATGGTTTTAATACCCTCGAGTATTTCTACAGTTTTAAATTGTATTTAATCATAAATTATTTCTTACTGGTAAACACAATTAATAACTGCACAAACTCCCTTCCCCACTCCATCATTTTTTCTCACAGAAATAAAATACAAAATAGATGCAGACAAAATACATAAATTGCAGACAGACGTCGTATCTCTGGGGTTATGTATTTCCTCTGAATCAAGGAGAAAATCAAAGACATCAATGTCGACAATTTCTGATATCTGTAATTTTAATACATGCTTCAAAAATCAAAGTAAAAAAGATAAATATTTTCCTTGCTCACCATCTTGTCTTGTAATGTTTCCGGACATGCGCTTTAATGATAATAAGTTAGTTTCCGGTTTGTGACGTAAGGGAATTCCTTGCTCTTCTATTTATCTGTTACATACCCTCTACTAAAATGAACAAACATGTAGTCACCACAAAATGTCAATCTATTTTAAACAATATTAAAAGATTTTCATAAATGACTTAATTCAAATAGGAAAAAATAATGTTTGAAAAATGACAAAAGAAATTCGCAAAGATATAAACATATTTATAATTTCCTAGGGCGTGAAAGTGATTAATAAAACAGCTATCGAGGAACTCCCTCGTTGTTTCTGGCTGAGTTGAAAATGTACACACAAGTTTTGTAATCGAGTCGTTATGAGTCAAATTTAGAGCGTATTTTCTTGTAGCACGCTGATCTGTGCTGGAGTTGAGATATATGAAAATGGCTTGCTCGTTACAAACTGTGGATTTTATTTTAAAGATTATTTTATAGTTTTTGTTTGGATTATTTTGTCTGTTGTTTTTAACAATTTTAGTTCAACATTCTATCATTTGGCATTTGTAACGGATTCACTTATATCGTCAGTGATACAATATGCAATAAGCAATAGATTTCAATGTGATATTATATGTTATAAAGTTCTGAAGGAATAATTCATCATGAGAGAACTAACATTCAGTGTATTTTGTTGTGTGTTGGTTTGTTTGAGTTCAGGCAATCAAGGTAAGCTAATCAGTTTTTACCTGTGTAATTTGCCTCACCTTTCACCTGGCTATATATTTGAATATACATTACTTGTAAAGTGAAGGCTTCAATTGGTACAATACAATGAAATTGAATTGAAGGTTAACTGAACAATTAATTTTGTAAATTGAAAACTGGATTGGATGCATAAAACATTTACGCATATAAAACCTAAAAAAATATTTAACTCCTGTTAAACAAAAATATGTACATTTTTTAGAGGCAAACAATACTTTTAGTAATTTGTCACCAAACATTGACATTAATCCAGCTATAAGATGTATGATATTCTTCTTAGTAATCTTACATAATACATATTTATACTACAAACATGATACAATTGTCTGTTTTAAAAATAGACCTGCAGCGACACAGTATAAATTTTTAACACAAAGACATAGACTAAGTCTTATACGTATCTGCTACAAAGCAAACCCATTCCATTCTATGGAATACATTTAAACTGTCGAAATATCGTGAGTCCTCTAAGCTTATTTGGCTTATATAAGCATTACCGGTAGCCTACAGTACTATTTTTTATGCATACTGGTATGGTATATCAACATCACAAAATTGATATTTAAGATTAATATTTTTATGTTTTAAGTGAAGCTTAATGAGTGGAGGAAATCGCTTTTGATTTGTACAGAATTAGAAAGGTGGAATGCAATGTACCGTACATCTAGCCTGTTATAAGCCACAAGCTGTGAAAAGAAAATTCTAATCAGAATTTTGAAATTGTATTCTGCATGGTTTTAATTTGCTTTTCAATAAAAACTAAAACATGAAGACTTGACTGTTACACAATATAATCATAACATTATTGTGAGGTAACAATGACAATGGTAATATCAGTATAGAACAATAATCTTTTTGTTATCCGTTACTTTGGTTAGGGTTTCAGTTGAATCCTATCTCAATAGCGGCAATACAACTTTGATAATATACCAGAAACTTTGACCTTCTCTAACAATTAATCATATTGCTCTATTGTTCATAACTCGTAGCCTGTAGATAGGGTCAAAGTTTCCCAGACTTATTGTACTCTAGCCTCTAGGTAAACTGATCAACCCCCTGTCATAAATAAACCCTAGACCCTAAAACACAGTCAAGTGGACAAGGGGAGAGTCAAAACCAATCCTAGAGCACTTAAAGAGTGTAAAAATTATCTTGAGGTACTTAACTTGTCCTAGTTAGCAACCAGGGTCTAAGAGCCTAGTCCATAACGAGTTCATTGTCAACTGTCATCGATTTGACCATCCCTGAGGCAAGAATAAAGCCTTTGCCAGTGTTTTTGAGAGTCTACAGTATACCCGCCAAAAGTAGTCTTCAATATGTGTTTGTTTGACCAACATTTGACTTTGAAACTAGGTTTGGGTGAACTAAAAGATTTAGGATATTTTCATTCTGGTGTCATGCCCTCAGTCAAATTCCCTGTCCCTCTTAGCTAGTTCTATAATTGAATTCTCAACCCCTATAGCATGTCCTGTCCCACACAGCTAGGGTTATTATTGAAACTCCCTGTGCTATAATATAAGATAAGATTAAGTAATAGGTGATATAACCCAGGGGGAGGTGTAAACTGGGGGGTCTAAGATGTAGCAAGTTTAGTCATGGCTAGTTAACCCTGACAGATTGATTAATTAGAAATCAAAGACAGCTGAGTTTGAAGTGGGAGGTGAAGGGTTAATTGGAGACAATCTTTAGTACCCTGGTACCATAATGATCATTAGATGCAGGATTCTTAAATTTTCATTCATTCATTCATTGTCTATGCTTTCAGTCACTGTCTATGCTTTCAATCATTGTGTATGCTTTCATTCATTCATTCTATAAGTCTACATTCAGTCATAAATTCATCCGTTCATTCACTTTGCTTTCATTTCATATTTTGTAATAATTTCTTCAACCATGACAAATTTACATCTTTTAGAAACTGATGACCTCCATTTAGTAATTTTTTTCTTAACTCCAATGATCTGATAAGTACAAATAAGTGAAGTAAGCTTATCTATATGGAGGTTATTAGAGTAAAGATTATAGGGGACTGGTTTAATAGTAAGGTGGTAACATACTCAGTTTTGTTATACTTAGCTGATATAAATTATATAAAATTTACCCACCCCAGTAATTATTCAGTCTAGTAGTTTAGGTAATATGGCTTTATAACTAGCACTCATTCATGCTGCTGAAACATGTTTCAGATACACAATCATGTATCAGGACAACAAGTATTGGATACCTCACTGAATGCAGATAAATACCTACTAGTATGCACCCTTGCCTTTTCTGTCTTGTGTATTTAGATCATACCTTTTATTAGAGGCCCTTCCCATCGTCCACCTACAATCTGTAAGTACTACAGGTGAGAATAGTTGTAGCCAGGGCTGGGTATCAATTATCAAATTGATATCGATTATTGACGGCAACCTGGGCCAGCTATCAATCATTAAGCTTACAAAGCATGTCAGATTTATTAACTCATTTTTTTTTTTGTGTTATGAAAGGATAATGATATATTCATTGCTTTGATATTTTATTATAGATTATTGTGTAAGTTATGTGCTCAAGGTAAGATATTATGACTTGTTAACAGGTATACGTGCAGGAGAAAATGTAACTTTGACATTTCGAAATTCAATAACCCAAATTATAAATTCGTAACCACCTTAATCGATTATTTTACCCATCCCTAATGACAGCAACCTAAAAGTGACGACAAACTTTATATTTTTATTTAATTGTAGATGTACCGAATGTTTAATTTTGATATGAATTGATTTGAACTCATAGTTCAGTATTGTTCAGCTATTTTTACATTTAAAACATTAAAGTTTAAGATGATAAATTTCATGTCAGGGTTTGATTTTAAAGTTACTTGTCACATTTTTAATTTGTTAAATCTGATAAAGGTTATTTTAGTATAAACTGAATGTATTATTAATAAAGCAGTGATAAGAGTCTATAAAACTACAAGAGTTGACAATAAAATGGGAAGAAAAGATAAGATAATGTTAGTTTGTATTCTAACCAGGAGGTAGTATGGTATTATGTTTTAACAACAATAATAAACTTATAAATCACTTGAACCTGGATTAATTGTAGTCAGAGTTGTATACATGATCTATGTCCAGTTTATCTTCACAATGTCAAGCTATTACTAACTTCTGTCTTATACCTTGACTTCAATAACCACCTTTCTAATATCAAAAAAGTTTATAAATGCATTGGATTGGACTCTAGCGCATACAGCCAATCGGGCTCCTGGACAGAAAGTCTGTAAACAATAATCATTAATTTTTACAGCCTATTTGTGGAGAGATATCATTGGCTGTATTTACTGGCGTACAATCCAATCAAATCACTGCATTCCCTGATACAAGGGGGCTATTGTAGTCAAGGTATAAAATGCATTCAGCTTAGTCCATTCAGTTTTCTGAAAAACGTCATTTTGTCAAGATTAAAAAAAACTTGTGATTCGTCAATCAGCAATGACCAGTTGGTACCAATTCAAATCTCTTTACAACCAGATATTTTGTTTACCTTTTGACTTGTTAATACCTAAATATTTGAAGAAAAATGTCACAGTTTGTCCCACAGTAAATTTTGTCTAAGAAACTAATTTGTCAAGGGTCAAAAGATTTGATAGACGTGGTCTATCTGTTAGGATGTCATTTCTTGAGCCATCTCCATTCATTCATTCATTAGGTACCGGTATAGCAATCAAGTTGTAGAAAGGATAGCAGTAAGCCAACCTAAAGGGTGTAAAGGGTCTTAGTAAAGATAGCAGTAAGCTAACCTGTGGGGTGTACAGAATTGTAATCAATATAGCAGTAAGCCAATCTAGAGGGTGTAAACAGAAGGAAAGTAATTTGATAAAAGAAATAAATTGTGTTTTGTAGAGAAGTTCTCCATTAGAACAATTTCCTGCTATTAGTGTCAATCTCAACCATTTTCCTTCCCTCCCTGTTTTAATAGTTTATTTCAAGATTTTTTAATGGTAAATGGTGGACAAAGAGATCATTTTGACATTGGTACGGGACAAGACTGAAGGAAACAGGAAAAATTGGACTTTGGACTGGAGTTTAGACCCCACTAATCTCAAACCTCTGCCCTTATGCTAGCCTTTGATAACCATTTAGACAGTTTGTTGGTTGGAATAGGGTCAGGAAAAACTTGGCCCTGGTTTATGGGGATTTTTCTGATTTTCTGAGAGGCTGGTAGAGAGATGTTTTGTACTAAGACTCCAACATTGTAAGAATCTTGAATACTGATGTGCTCACATAAATTGGAAAA